AGAAAGCTAGTTTTAATGATTTTAGACTTACAGAGTTAAATGCTTTTTTCATATCTTGTAGTATAATCCAGAGCTCTTTGTTGTTCTCTTTCGCTTTTTCTATTATCATGCTCAAGATATGAATTAGGCTTTCTGTTAAACTTCCTATTAGTCCTGCAAAGTTTGACCTTTCTAGCATATTGTTTTCTCTTATTATTTTCTCTAATCTAACTGTATAAACTTTAGTTATATACTTTCTGAAGGTTTCTAGAAGTGCTATTGGTCTTATATTATTTAAATTATATTGCTAGTCTATATCTTTAGATATTGGATATATCTGTTCAATCTTCCATTTAAGTGGAATTTGTCCTGCTTTTAGATATTGACTAGCAAAATTTTTAAAGACTACTTGTATTTCTGCACTTGCTTGTTTGATTAGAATATATCTAATTTCCAATAAACCTAGTACTATGCTTGTTTTGAACTTTTGTAGTATTATGAACCATTCTTCTTCTGTTATTCTACTATTTAGATCCTTATAGCAGCTTTCATTAATTCTTGTCATTAGTTTATATATTTCTTCCTAGCTGTCTGAGAATTCTTTTTGTTAAAAGTTTCTTTTTTTGAACTAGTTTTTGAAGTGATTAGCTATTCTTTTTAAGACTTCATTAGGATAATTAAATAGTTCTTTGCTTCCTCTTTTATCTGAGAGTAATCTGTCGATCACTACTTTTTTGAATAGTTTTTCTAGCAAACTATTAATCATTCTTCTCTGGTTATCTCTTATTATCTCGCATCTATAGTTTACATGATCTCTTATTTCTAGTCTGCTTGCTATACTGTTCTCTGCTACTAATTTGCTTTTGAGTATTGACTACTATCTTGTGAACTCTTCTTGTAGCTACTTGCTCTACAGAGTTCCTAGTATTATGATACTTGACTCTGTTTTTTGGTTTATTTTTCCAACTTCTCGCTTAATATCTCTTTATTCTTCTTCTGTTCTTCTAGTTTCTAGTTTGAAGGAATTTTATTAAAATTGCATATGGGATATCTATTGATAGTCTCTACTGTTTGTAATTACATAAAAAGTATACAATAAGCTATACGTACAACTTTAGTTATTATCTATTTTAAGTAGTTGCTATACAGATGATTAGACTATCTGATTGGTTCTACACTATGCTGCTATACCTATAACCTACCTGTGAGTTTTCTATTTAAACACTCTGTTTATTAACCTATACAGATCCAATCTAATATCACTGCAATACCTAACTACTTAAACCAGCTAGCTCATTATGGATCTATTTATTCAGAATGGCTTAGGTCCTCTCAGAATATATTATATCTAATGTATTATAAGTATTACAGATCTAGTTAACCTTGAAGTATACCTACTAGAGTAGTCTGTATCTATTTTATGAATTCACCTAGCTTAGACTCTTATAGATATTTATATAACCTAGTTCCTATTGTAGCTCTTCATCAGTTTTCTGTATTTTATCTTTTTGAATATTTCATAAAGCAGATCCTCCTAATTCAGTTAGCTGCCAAGCTAGGTTGGTATTACTGATCTTCTCTGTAGAACGGATTTATATACACTTGACTTGATCTGTATCTTTTAATGATAGTTTCCTTTCTGAATTAAGCATTAGCTAGTATAATCATCAAAAGCTATACTACTTTATTAACTTAGGATTTCTACTATGTAGGTCCCCTGTTCATAGATCCTATTAAGATTTATTTGTATAATATTACATCTCGCCAAACACCTCATCACACTTCCAATATCCAGATAATATTAATACAACGTGATTTACAGGATTACAACTCCAGAAATGAACAGGGTTTACTATAAGTTAAGTACAAAAGTCTAGGTAATTATTCAAATTCTGTTGATAGTAGGATTTGAACTCTAGACCTCTTGCATGGCAGTCTGGCAACCTAACCATTATACTAAGTTTGCTAGACCTTGTAATTAATAGATCTTTAGCCTATTATCTAAGAAAAAGTAATAGTAAATTATTTATAGCAATTAATATAATATTTAATTTTTTTTAGAATATAGAAGAACTTTTTTAAGAATAATAATGAATCTCTGAATAAAGTGATTAATTTGATCTTAAGTCTATCCTTCTTGAAAAAGGTAATGAGTATAGAAAAACTTTGAATAATAATAGTATATAATTAATTAGTTCGATATAATATCTTATAATCAAAAGATAAATTATTTAAATATTTAAAAATATATTTAAGATTTTATAGCAATATTAATATAATATTCAATTCTTTTTAAGTACAGAAGAACTTTTTTAATAATGAATTCTTAAAATAATATGATTAATTTATTCGATATAATATCAGTCTAGAGAAAGATAAAATATTTAATAATTTTAAAGTAATATTAATATAATATTTATAATTTATTCAAGTACTGAAGAACTTTTTAAGAAATATAGTGAAATAAAAAGATAATTAATATATGGAATAAAAAACTTATATAAGAATAGTATCTTCTCTATAAATTTTTCTAAATCAATTATTAATCACTTATAATATTTACTTAATTATCTAATATTAATATAATCTTTTTTAAAATAGGCAAAGAAAAATACTTATTTAAAGCTAAAAATAGTAAAATAGCTAAGAAAAGAGCTCGATCATATAGGTGTAATAAAAAAAAAAGTAAGATTTATGATAAGTTGATATTGTAATTTATTAATTAATATAATATAATTTTTAGTAGATAGCAAAGCTATTGTAGCTATGATTGAAGATGCTATAGATGCTATAGATGCTATAAAAGCTCTTTATAGTAAAAGAAAAGGAAAGGAGATAGTAAAAAAAAGTAAATAAAAAAATAAAGATGATGATAAGAGTTGTAGTAGCAGTAAAAGTGAAAGTAAGAGCTCAGAAAGTGAAAGTGAGAGCTCAAAAAGTAATAGCTTATCTAAATTACTAGATAAGAATCAATTAGCATATCTTTAGATAAATATAGTATGATTTGTTTTGCTGTTTTTGTTTTTCTGTTTTTTATTTTGAATTATTATTTTTTTTTTATAGGATGAAATAAAAATATTAACTGAAGGTAGTAGCTTGTCTAACTTTAAACTAGATCTTTAAAAAATATAGGCATTTTAACAAAAAGATAGAAAGAAAAACCTAATTCTAGTATTAATAAAAAATTGCCTAACTTTAAAAATCATACTATAAACATCAAAAAAATCTTAAAATTGTATTATAAGATACAAAGATACACTGCTTAAATAAATACTAATTATGATTTATAAGAATATAATCAAAAATAAATTGTAAGAAATAGCAAGATAAATAAGATAAGAATAATATAAATATTAGAATATCAGTAGATTTTTGTAATTTAATAATTATCAAATTACAAAAATCTGCTGATATGTAAAATATAATTTATTATTATATATAAAAAAATTAAAAAGGAAAAGAAGACATAAGATATTAGCATATTTAATAAAGACTAGTAATAAAAGAATTAAAAGATATTCTTGAGACGATTTGAAATTTTTAATACAAAGTAAAGATGAAAATACCTACTACTTTGCTGAGAAATAGATGACTAATGATAATAGTAATAAAAAATTAATATATATAGATAAGTAGTAGTATAGTCTGAATATAGATATCAGTATATATTCGCTAAATAAAAACTCTTTCTACTGATCATTTGAATACAAATAGTCATAAATAAAAACTTATTATTATAGAAAAAACAACATAAAAAACAATACTCGTAATCTTAAAAAAAAAGAAAGATAACAAAAAGAAACATATAGTCTCTTAAGAGGCTAAGGCCTCAAGAAGAAAAGCCAAGTATATATAGAAGAAAACTTGAAAAACTATAAACTTTTTGTTTCTTGCGAGTATTTTTTGGGATTGCACTTGATCCTGTTGTATAGATCTATTTAGTTATACAAAAACAAGACACATAATAGAGAGTAAACAAAATAAATATAGAAAAAGACACATATTAAATAGATATATAAATATAACAAAACCAAAAAATGAACACATGAGGCTTAAAATAGAAGAAAACTCCAAAAGAAGATCTACAAGAATAGAAGCTATAGCAAAGCAAATATACAATCTAAGAAGAAAGTTTGAACAATATCAAGAAAAAAAAACAACTAAATTAGAATTAAAAAGTCTCATAGGAATAAATAGGACATCTTTTAGAGTAGCAACAGATCTAGCTGAATTAATAGGAAAGAATATTTATGAGTTTTTAATTATCGAAAAGATACAATATTGGCTCAAAGAACTTAGTATAAAAGAAGCAAAACTCTATACTAAACTTATCAAGAAAGAAGAACTTATACAGAAAATATAACAAAGAATAGGTAGAAATACTTAAAGCAAAAATGATTAAGAAGCAAAAACAATGAAACTAAGAAATTATAATGAAGATCAGCCTACAGATTAAAGAAGCAACTAGAAGAGTTTTACTTAAGTAACAAAGAAAAAAAAAAAAGCTTTCAAGAGAAGAGTAAAAAGAAAAAGAGAAAAAAAACTCTAGAAGTAGCAAAAGAAAAAACATAGAAAAAAGAAAAATAGAAAAAGTTTTAGAAGAACTTAAAGAATAGACAAGACCAATAGTACAGGAGAAAGATCAAGATAGCCTAAAAAATAATGAAAAGATAAAGATACAAAGAATAAAATCAACTCAAAAGAGAAAAGAAGAAAAGAAAATAAAGTTTAGATGAAATAAAAGAAGAATAGAAGCTTGAAACTTCTGGAAGAATTAGAAAAAAAAAAAGAAAAGATGATCTAAAAGATTTAACTCTAAAGAAAAATTTTAATTAGAAATACAGAAGAATAATCAAAAAGAAGCTTATAGCATAGCAGAAAAAGAAATACGAAAGTGCAGAGCAAAACTAAAAGAAGAAAAGATACTTTGTTTAATCAGAAGATCTGCAGACAAACCTAGTAGAAAAGTTTAGAAGAAAAGAAGAAAAAAAAAACTTTATAAGATGAATACTATTTAATAGATTGAAAGTAGAATAAAGGATAGTAGTTTAGAAGGTAAATTTAAAATTGTTAAAAATTTATGGATAAAGGAGAGTAAAATAGTTGAAAGGATATAAAAGTAGTCATGATAGGCTATGGCATCTATACTTAGAAAGTTGTAGTTACAGAATAGTAGCAACAATAATCTAGTATAAAAATCACTATAGCAGATTGTACATAGATATCTATAGAATAATTAGGTGAGTTAAAACTTAAAAAATTAGATATTGAAAAGATATATAGTCATTCAATGATGTTTTCTTATATAAAACAAATTCTAAATAAAGTTTTAGTATGACTGCTGAATTTAAAAAAAAAAAATATAGATATCAGTATATTATTCTCATAGATATGATATCACAAAATAAGCTAAAATTATAGATAATCCTAGCTTATTTTGTGATATTATATCTATAAGAATAATCATTACTAAAATTTAAAATATAAAATTATTTTACTAATATTAGCCTAATATTATTAGATTAAATGGCTATTTTACAAAAGAATTGATCCTTATGAAACTATTTCAGTCTAAAAACAAGTAAATAATTAAACAATACTATAAAAATGATATCTATAATACTAGTAAACCTCTAAATTATTGCTAGAATTAGGTATTATCTGATAAAGCCTTAAAAAAGTATAATTTAATAGCAAAAGATTTTGATACTTATTATTCAACTAGTGATGAAGACCTAAACAAAAAGAAAAAAAAGTAAGCAAAAAGAGTAAAAAAACAAAAGAAGAAAGTAGTAAGAAAAAAAAATATATATATAAGTAGAGCAGGAGATATTGAGAAGAAAAAAGGTAAAGTAGAAGATATTAGACAAGAAAAAGCTAGAGCAAGAGATATTGAGAAAGAAAAAGCTAGAGCAAGAGATATTAAGAAAGAAAAAGCTAAAGCAGGAGATATTAGGAAAGAACAAGATAGTGCAGAAATAAAAAGAAAAAATAGTCATGCAGATAATAATAATAGTAATAACAATAGAATAGTAATGTAGAAATGACAAAAGAAAAAAATAGAAAAAAAACAAAAGAAAAAAATAGAAGAGACTGAAGAAAGAAGAAAAAACCTCTTCTGATGATTTGTTCTTTGAATATGAGGCAACTTTAAGCAAACTATTAATAGCTGAAGTAGTAACAAAAATAGCAACAACAAAAATAGCAGCAGCAACAACAGTAGTAGCAAAAACAGTAGCAACAAAAACAGTAGCAACAAAAATAGTAGCAACAAAAATAGTAATAGCAAAAATAGCAAAGGCAACAACAGTAGTAACAAAAACAGCAACAGCAAAAATAGTAACAGCAAAACAGCAGAGATAACAATAGGAAAAAGTGCTGATGAACTAATAGAGATAGTAATACTAGTATCAAGTCTATTAAGAGATAATTCACTCTTAATAGAACCTAGTGAACTATTAATATCAAAAAAGACAACTAATAGAAATAAAAAAAAACTAACCAAAAAAATATCTGAAGAAGATAATCTATTAATATTTAAAGTAAAAGAAGTTGAAAGTGAAGAAGTTGAAGATAAAAAAGGTAGAAAAGAAAGTAAAGAAGAAGGTAGAGAAGAAGATAGAAAAGAAGATAGAGAAGAAGGCAGAGAAGAAAGTAGAAAAAATAAAGACAAAGAAAAAAAAAGAGAAAAAGAAGAAATAATAGTAATAAGAAGTCAAAGAAGAAGACAAAAAAGATGCGATAGTTTATAAATATATAATTTTTATTTTATTTATTGTATTTTATGTAATAACTAAAGAATAAATAATATCAGCTATTGTTATAATAGTAAAATTTACATTTTTGCTAATAACTTTTGAAGCACCAAACCAATTTGGATGTAATATATATCATTAGAATCAGCTCATCAAGACGAATCCAACGAGCTAAAGATTATCTGAATTCGATCACTAGATACCAAGATATAAAAGTTCCAAATCGTGTAATCTACAAAAGGCACATAATCGTGTAACAATCTATTCTGCATCCAAAATCGATGATTTCTACTCCATCTACCATATCTACTATTTCTACACTTTCTATCAGATCTATCATATATATCAGATTTATCATTTCTACTATTTCTCTTATATTTATTATATATATCATATATACTATTTCTACTATATATATTATTTCTATTATATGTATTATATATTATTACTATTTATAGTTATTTTAGTTAGTTAACTTATCTTTATTCTAATTATTTATACATGTAAATTATCTATAAATATACTGTCTTTCTGCCTTTCTAGCAAAGCAGTCTTGTCTTTATACAATTCTCAATAAAGATATAATACTTAGTATCTTCATATACTATTTATTATTTGTCTCTTAGCCCTAACATAAATCACTACAAAAACCTCTTTGTTAAGTCTTAATTCTAGACACTATATAACAAGCTATAAAGTTATAGTCTTCATACTATAATCAGCAGTCTCTGGGAACTCTAGAAGAGGTGAATTCTACGTTTGACAATTTGGTGATAACTGTGAGATAAAGTTCTCCTTTATCGAAGAAAATTGAAGTTACTTACTACTAAGAAAAGTCAATCAGTTTTGAATCAATCTACCTGAAATTTTTACTATATATTTTTGAAAACCTACTGCATCTTTTGTACTAAGTATTACCTTAGTAGAAAATCCTTCTGAAACCCGCTATTCGTGTTTCAAAATAGTTTTGACGATTTTAATCTGCAAAGAAAGTTAAAGAAAGCTTTTCTAAGAAACCTAATGATGTTGGTTACACAAACTTTGGACACTAATATCTCAGTGAATATCTAACCGAATTTAGATTTTTGACCACCATTAGGACCGCAAAGAACCAAAGAACAATTCTTTTCTAAGTGAGAACAAACAATAGCATAGTATCAAATACTCTAAAATGATACTTTTTCAAAAAATTAAAAATTTGTATAGTTATTAAGAGTAATATCTATGACTAGACGAGGAATTGCAACTTCACAAACACCACAACATATTGAGAACACTCAAGTATTGAAGGCACCTTTTTACAAAGACTACCTTAAGAAAGAAATTGATAAATTAATTGATTCAACTGAACAAACAGACAGTTCTTTCATCTTTACTATAAAAAATTTAAAGCTTGCTGACCTTTATTTTGCTCAACTCAAACAAGTTGAAGCTACTATTGACTTGTAAAAGTCTTTCTCTCTTATTCTTTTAATTGTTCCCCACGAGCCAAAGTGTAGGCATAAGGAACCCTTTTATAATATCTATTTCTCTAATTTAGTATATTTAAGTTTTAATTTTGAATGATTTTTGATTTTACAAAACATTTAACAAATATAATTAGACATCAAAAACAACATACCTTGAATCTACTTATTGAACTAAACAATTTTTGTGATATCTGTTACTCTATTTTAACTTCTATATTATTTACCTCTTTTCATAATTTTATTGCTTGGTATAGTAAACAATATCCTGCAGTAAACTTTACTAGCAAAACATTAGAATACTTTAATAATTTTAGGAATATTTATTTATAATTTGAATTATCTCAACACAAAAATCTTATTTGCAAAATAATATATAGTATTAGATACAACAACTCACCTAGTGATATTCATGAAATAATCAGAGGAATTGCAGTATTATTATTATATACTGATTGTTTTGAGAAAAACCTACTTCATTTATCTAAAGAAGAACTAGATAACACTAAACCTCTTGATCAACTCATAGAAAGAATACAACAAATTCCAAATGCTTATATCTAATTAAACCTTCTAATAGAATTACCATTTTATAATAATTAGATAGTTACTTCTGATTTATTATTCAATACTTTCTTATCAACAACCCTATACCTACCACTTTTAAATAAACCTCTTTTATTTATAAACCTAACAATAGCTACAACAACTGATGATATCATGAACTACCTTAAGGCAAATACCAGTGGATCCCTTCTACTTAAAGTAGAGCCATTTACTAGTAATTGTACTTAGGACCTATATACTTAGATAGAATGCTTTGAGAAAGCTACTGCTGCTAATAGATGGGATAGTAAAAGAAAAAGAGATATTCTTCCTGGTTTTTTATATGGAGTTGCTGATGAATAGCAAACAACCTTCTATGTAACTCAAAATACAGCAGAAACACCAAATTGGGGTGATCTTTGGACTGCTATCACAGATAACTTTAAACTTAACTTCTATACTCAACGATAGAAAAATAAATGGCTACTTGAATTAGAAGCTATTAAACAAGGAACAGATAAAGCAATAGAATCATATTATAGTAGATTCAATAAATTAATTAAAGATATAATATCACTAATACTGCTCAATAGTTATATTACTTTAAAAAGGGTATAAAACCTGAACTATTACCCATAATTATGTTGCATAATCCTGGAAATCTAAATGATACTTGACAATTAGTTCAACAATATGAACAAAGAAAAGACTTTGCTCAACAGATAGAACCAATCTCATCCTCAAGCAATAATACTCACAAATTAGAAAAGAATATTGAAGTATTGACTCAGCAAAGAAAACAAATAAGCTTAAACTATGCAACTATTGCATCTGCTCTTACTGAACCTTATGAAAAACCTAAACCAAAACCAATTAATTACTAACGAAACCAACCAAATAGGATTCAATTTCGACCAAAAATCATTTGTTATAACTGTAGTGAAGCAGGCCATATAGACAGAAACTGTATGTCTGAACATCAAACTACTACTAAACAATACAAACAATTAAAGAAAAATGTAATCAGAAATAAAAATATAAACTTCTTAGAAGCAGAAGATGATAGTGAAGATTATGAGGAAGAAATTTATATCACTAAAAATCAAAGGTCTACTCCATATACTACTGATAGAAAGAAAACTATACATGTTACAAAAAATTCTGAATCTCAGAAAGAATTTAATTTACATAACAAAAAGATAACTCCTATTCAAATAGAAGAAGATACTACTATGGAAGATGTACCTAATGAAATACCTAAAGAAATACTAACTACAAAAGTAAATCGACCAAGAACTAAATATAAAACTCAACTCTCTGTAATTGATAAAATTGAACCCTATGATATTTCTGTTGATATTTTAATTTGAAATCCTCAGCTACCCTAGCATAACTATTACAATACCCTAATCAATGAAGAAACCTTGCTAAAATTATTCAAAAAAAGAAAGAACTTTTAACAGAAGCAAATCTTATTGAATCAGAAAAATTCAAGAAAACTACAGCAATAAGATGTCATATTAGAATTAAAGGAAATCCTGTTCAAGCTATTCTTGACTTTAGAGCTGCTATTAGTATTATTACAGCAAGGCTAATAAAGAAACTAGGACTCAATATCTAAGGATCTTCAAGAACTATAGTTGTAACTACTAATGGTGAACATACTAAAGCATTAGGAGTAATTTCTAATATAAAAGTTACTATTCAAGATATTATAATTCCTGTTGACTTACAAGTTATTGAGTCAATGGACGAAACTCTTCTTCTAGAAACAGACTAGTTTAATAAATCTAGAGCTAAATTAGATTTTGAAAATAATACCTTAACTGTACGATATCTAGGCAAAAGAGCTACAATTAATGCTACTTATACTAGTAGTTTAAATCCTATTTACTAAGAAATTGATAATGAAGATGATGATGATCAATAGATTAATAAAATTGATGATAATAAATTTAAAACCTATTACATTGAGGAATAGCCTCCTGTTGTAGATGAATTATTCTATAATCCCTGAATTAATAGTGAAACTACACCTGCTTTTTATCTAACTCAGATATTAGAAGAAAAGATTTATACTATAGATGATTCTAAATTTAACGTAAATGAAGAACTTACTAAAGAGCAACAAGAACAAGTAAATCAATTCTTAACAAACAATATTGATATTTTCTCAGAAAATATCTTAGAAGAAAGACAATTTAAACAATTAGGACAAACAAATATTATCTGTCATAAGATAAATACAGATAAAGCCAGATCTATTAAACAATGAGCATATCAATACCCTCCTGACGAGCAAGAATTCCTTCAAAAAGAAATTAAGGAAATAGAAAAAAAAGGAATTATTAGAGAATCCTATAGACCCTGGTCTTCTCTAGTAGTAATTGTACTAAAAAAGGATAGTAGAAAAAGACTTTGTATTGATTATAGAAAACTTAATGCTGTTACAGAAAAAGATATTTATCCTTTACTTACAATTCAAGAAGTTTTAAGTTTATTTAATAAAGCTTCTTGGTTTACTAGCTTAGACTTGACTAGTGGATATTGGCAGGTTGCTATAAAAGAAGAAGATAAAAAGAAAACTGCATTTGTTACTAAATTTGGAACATTGAGTTTAATGTTATACCTTTTGGACTCACAAATGCTCCTGCTACTTTTCAATGCTTAATGGATCAAATTCTTCACCCATATATCAACAAATTTGTAGTTGTATATTTAGATGATATAACTATATATTCACCAACCTTCGAAC